AAAACCCAATGGCTCAAGGGCCATACAAAAACAAACAGTGGGTCATAGCTTGCTGACCTCTGAAACAAATGGAACCATGGATTTCAATTCAACCCAAACTTAACATCATCGTATTAAGTTTGTCAGCATTCATTTCTCTTTTTTTGAATTATCTTATTTATTCATTCATTTATCTTAATTTGACCAGAGAGAGAGACACACACACACAGACAGAGAGAGAAAGAGAGAAAGCAAGAAAGCAAGCCACTAGGTCCGGGACTCAAACCGTGGTCAGCCATGTGGGAGTGTCCAGTGCCTTAACTTCCACGCCACCTGCTGATCCCCTGTCAGCACTCATTTCTAAAGCATGTAAATTATAAGATCAGGTTTGTTGGAAACAAATTCACCAGTGATTGCATTCTGTAAAACTCTAGTGTAACAAATCATAACTGAATACTTTTCTAATGATGTGAAAGTGGAGCAAACATTTTGTGAAATTAATGGATGTGAAATCCTGTAGGTAGATTTTATAAATAAATAAATAAAGTTAAATAATTCTTTTTTAAAAAAGTATAAAAACCAATACTCAAAACCCAATGGCTCAAGGGCCATACAAAAACAAACAGTGGGTCATAGCTTGCTGACCTCTGAAACAAATGGAACCATGGATTTCAATTCAACCCAAACTTAACATCATCGTATTAAGTTTGTCAGCATTCATTTCTCTTTTTTTGAATTATCTTATTTATTCATTCATTTATCTTAATTTGACCAGAGAGAGAGACACACACACACAGACAGAGAGAGAAAGAGAGAAAGCAAGAAAGCAAGCCACTAGGTCCGGGACTCAAACCGTGGTCAGCCATGTGGGAGTGTCCAGTGCCTTAACTTCCACGCCACCTGCTGATCCCCTGTCAGCACTCATTTCTAAAGCATGTAAATTATAAGATCAGGTTTGTTGGAAACAAATTCACCAGTGATTGCATTCTGTAAAACTCTAGTGTAACAAATCATAACTGAATACTTTTCTAATGATGTGAAAGTGGAGCAAACATTTTGTGAAATTAATGGATGTGAAATCCTGTAGGTAGATTTTTTTTCCTTATCCCAGATAAGGAGACTACATTCTCTTCAAATGTTTAAGATGGTTGTGGTGAATTATGTAAGAGCTGAATTTACTCTTGTGGCCTCCAGTAGGTGAATGCTATGGAGAGCTTCCCACAGTTGGAATGTGCTTTGAGTGAGACATCCAGGTATAAATTGAAGGACGCCTTATTGAAGATGTTACACAGCACATTTAAGTTTGTGACTGGTAGGATTAACCTTTAAGGGCCCCTAAAATAAGAGAGTTTATGCTTCTTTGGTTTGGGGAAAGATTGAAAGAACTTATTACTTTGGTAGTGTAGATAAGAAGCTAAAAATGGCTTGAATTGTTTGGAGTTGACCTGGTCCAAAGGTTAATTATTTAATAATGAAGTCAGTGAGAGTATGATATATGTGAATGACTTCTCCTATTATAAAAAGGAAATGGTTAGAACTAATCTTGTCTAGCTAAAGGCTCCAGGCAAGACTACATCAAAACCTGTATGATATAACAGACATCAAAGAGGAGTCAATAACCCAGTCTTCTCACCTTGACATTGCCACTTTGGAATATAGCTTAACTTTATGGATTTACTTTTGCTATTTAGCACCTGGGAATGCCATCTACTCAATTTGGCTTAGGCCCAGTTATGTTAATTAGATTAAAACGGCTGGCTACATCAATTTTAAGGTAATAAGACTAAGTAGTTCTCTTCAGTTCTCAAAAACCTTAAATCTTCTAAAATTGAGATGACACCCTTTCTTTCTACTCCACCCTTTTGGTCTACTTGTAAATATTACAGAGCTAGGTATCTCTAATCCTTGGATAAACTGTTTCTAAATAATATGGATTTAACCTGTTAGTCCTATTTTTCTGGACTACATTTGAATCTTTTAAATCTTATACCTCTCAAAAAATGAGTTGAAATTCTAGAAGTCATCATTGATATATTTACATCATTTTGGCCTTTGGAAATTTTTATATAAACATTTTGTTCGGTGATATCTGTCAAATAATACAACTTCCCACTTTAAAATATGGTGGCTATTAAAAGGTATTTGTGCTATTATAATGAGAGCAGTAGTCAGTTGACTATAAAAGTTGTTTATTAACATATTCCTAAAGAACTTTTCTATATAAATAATTTCTTTAAGCATTCACATAGTTGGATGGGTGTTTCTTTCCCCATAATAATTAATACAGTGTGAATTTTTGTCAAGTGATTCTTTGACACATGAGAGTATGGTTAAATGCTCAAATACAAAACTGTCTTGTATAAAAATATAAGTGAACAAGTGAGTTATCAGTTTTTAAAGGAATTATTTTAATTTAATTTAATTAATTAAAATTTGAACAGAGAGTGACAGAGAGAGAGAAAGAGAGAGAAAACAAGCTGCCAGCTCTGGGACTCAAACCATCGTCAGCCATGTGGGATTCCAGTGCTCTTAACCACCATGCTATCTGCCAGCCCGAGTTATCATTTTATAGCACTTTGGAATGTTATTTTTAAAGAGATTTTTGCTATAAGGTGTGTGCGTTTGCCAAAGAGATAGAGAGACAGAAAGCTAGAAATTACCCCCTGGAGGATGGCCATGCCACAATCCCTTTTCCTCCATTCTCCTCTCAGGATTTTGGGCATGCACGCACATATGCCCTGTGTGTTTGAAGATGCTGGGTCTGGGACTCAAACCGCTGTTGACTATGTAGGAGTCCAGCAATGTAACCATTACATCATCTGCTGGTCCCAACAGTTCAGAATTTTAATAAAGCACAGGCTCCTACATATCCAGAATGTCTGTTTTAGAAAACAACCAAAGTTGGAGTTCTCAGGATGCTTTGTTTCCTCTGTCCTCCCCATCATCTGCTCATCTTCAGTACAGTGTTCTCACCATGCAAGGTCCCATGCTCTGTGGGCTGCACCTATAAAGGCCCTTATAAAGGAGACAACAGGACACTGCACAGGGTGTGAAGGTGCTATAAGAGAGGATGAGTGACATTCAATAGCTTGACCACATTGAGTACTTGCTGTGTGCCAGGAACCATCTTTCCCCATAAAGAAACTGAGGATAAGGAAGTTTGTATTTCGGTAATGGCAGAGAGAGTGATGGTAACAAAGAAAGGAGATGTATAAACACTGAAATAGTAATGCAGACTAAAAAGGATTAATGAACTTGTTTCACCATGTTATCTTAAAGTTATTCTTTAGGGATGACCTTTATTAAAGCAAGAAACTTAGGTTAATAGCAAACAAAGTGTCATGTAAAATGTTAGGTGTAACCATTTCTTCTTTTTCTAGAGTTTCTTTTTTAAAAAAATGTTTTCTGAGAGAGAGAGAGAGAGCGAGCGAGCGAGCGAGCAAGGGTCTTGCCATACTGACATCCTCCCTCCATCTTTCCAACCAGCTAGGGTTGTGGCTGGGCCTATTGGTGCACCCAGGACTTAAGGTTGACTTGGGATCCAAACCCTGGGCCTTCCCATATGGCTCCAGTATCACACAGCAACAACTGCACCACTGCAGCTGGCTCAGGTGTAACCACTTCTATTTAAATAGACTCCTTAGTGCAACCCCGAATGTATATAATCAAACGGTATTAGACTTTTTATATTCAAAATTTATGCATTACACATTCCTCCTCTTTACTTCACATAACTGAAATAACCCAAACTAGTTTCACTTTTCCAGTATCTTTTTTTAAAATTATTTTATTTAACTTTATTTATTATTTATTCATTTGTTTATTTCAATTTGACCAGAGAGGGGGAGAGAGAGAGAGAGAGAGAGAGAGAGAGAAAGCAAGCCGCCAGGTCCAGGACTCAAACCACGGTCGGCCATGTGGGAATCCAGCACCCTTAACCACCATGCCACCTGCCGGCTCAGTATCTTTTTTTTACATGATGGTCACCCCAAAAATGTCAAGACGTCTCATTGGCTTTGCATTTCTACTTTTAAGAGAGAGCATTATATGAAGCAGGTATGTGAGAATGGGAGCAGCTGCTACAAGCAAACAGATCCTGATCAGATATTAAAGTGCGCTTTCAAAGGAGTCGAGTATGTTCCTGTCAATAAGCTACTCACTGTAACGACTTCCTATTCTACGGGCTTGCTTTGGAGCGCAGCCTGCTGACTCACCAGGCTGCTAGGAGTTTGTTTCTGCTGGGTTTCCCTACTGCCTGCTACTCATGAGTCATCACAGAATGAGAGCTTCTATCCTTAACAACAAGTGCAGACACCAGGCACTGAAAGCAACTTCAATCTTTCCAGCAAGAACTAGACTCTAGGCAGGGAAGGGGAAAATGAGGTTGTAGGTGTCACCACCAGCAGGGCTGCCAGATAACAGTCCCACACCCCAGGGCTTAGTCATCGGCATCCTGGTTTCAGCATCTTTTCTTTCACACACCCAAGTAGTTAAACTGGCATCTCGCAATGCCTGCTGTCTGCTCTTCCTCTCTCCTGGGCTTCCCCAACTTGCCTGCACAATGGAATCACCCAGAGAGTTTTCAAAAAGATGCAGATGCCTGATTCTCACTCCCAGTACCATTTAAATGGTTTGGGATATGATCTGGACATCAGGATTTTTCTCCAGAGCTCCCAGGTGATTCTAATATAGAGCAAAGTTTGAGAACCACTTCCTTGGAGAAGCATCACTTTTCCCATGCAATCCACCAGTTAAGGTTACCTAACCACCACTTTGTGGGTTTTCAAACCTCCTATCTTGGAAATCTACTGAGGCACAACCCCTAGCTAATGGCTTTAATTAATTTGACAGAAAAGAAAGGCAGATTGCAAATAAAGAGGGCATTTCCAGCAGGGAAGCTTGCTATTCAAGACCATTCTCTTAGTTTGCTGAAAACGTAGCCAAATTTAGTGGCCTAGAGACCCTCAAATGTTGCTATTTTCCCGGTTACCTTTTGGTCTCTGTTCTGTTTCATTCCACAGTATCTTGTTCGACAAAGTTGCAAGCCACAGGTCCCTTCAGATTAGAAGCAGGAACTGCGTCCGAACTCAGTCGAGACTGACCGGACTGCACGCTTCACCTCGGCTGGGACTGAACCTCCGCCTCGCAGCGCGGCCCCAGGGCAGATACTATGCTAATCAAGAAAGTTCTTCCGTCTCTTCGCGCGCGGGCTGACGCGGGCTTAACACTTAACCCTTGATTTTAGATTGACTCCACTAAAGTGCTTTCCACGACCTCTTCTTGCCTAGCTGATCTGGACCACTTTCTTTTTTTCTTTCTTTTCTTCTTTTTGGAAAAGGAGGGGACGCGAGCGAGTGATAGAGATCCACAGGGAGGGTCTCAGTGTTAGCTGGTGACGGGGTGAAGAGACGGCTAATGTTCGTAATATTAATTACTCCAAGCGCTACTGACCTGGCGAAGACGAGCAGAAGGGGACTGGGGGTAAAGACAAAGGCTCCTACTGGCCCAATGGCTGCAGCGCCCCTTCTCCGAGGTTACAGCTTTGCCTGGCACGGGACTAGAGAAGTGACTCGTGGTGCCCAAACCACGAGTCCTGTCGGGGTCTGAGAGTCTGCATTACCTAGTGCTCCAGGTTCAGAAGGGAGGTCTTGCGGTGCCCACCCCTCCTTTCGGCCCTTTGTGGGATTTCCGGCCTCGGTGCAGCCCTAAGGGTAAACCCCGAAGAATTTCCTACCCACCCAAGAGTGCGGAGTCGCTGAGAGGGTCTCACCCAGCGCGCTGGGTACTCTGTGCAGAAAACCAAACCAAACCAAACCAACCAACACACACACACACACACACTCACACACTCACACACTTGGCCGCAGAATAATAATCAGCTCCCTTTCTCACTCGGCTCCTGAGTCCCAGGCGCCAGGAGCCGGGGCTGGCCTAGGAGTGGGGAATGGTGGGGCTGGTCGCCGCCGGAGGGGCCGCAAGGGAAGCGGCTGGAGAGCGAGTTTAGGGGTTGCTCTCTGGCCGGAGGGTGCCGGCGCTCTGCACTTCCTGGTCTGCTTCGGAGCGCAGAGTCCCTACCCCCCCACTCTCAACCCGGGCGCCCCAACTCTTGAGCCTTGAGGGCCGAGCGCTGCGGGTTCGCACGTGCAAGACCCCTCTCCTTCACCGGCGCCGAGACTTCCTATGCTGGACAGCCCCGACTCTTCGCCCCGAGCCAGTCCACTTTGCTTCTGCCAGCGTGGCAACCCCGACTCCCTCCCTTTCCCCGGGATGCGACGCACTGAGGCCCCGAAGGAGAGACACGACTAGTGGGAGTGCGGCGGGGTGCACACCCAGGGGCCGCGGCGCAGACCCCTGCACAACTTCTTGCTAGGCTCAGGGACCCCAGGTTCCTCTTACTCTGAGACCCGCAGCTTCAGACTCTGGAGGCTAAAGGAGGCGCGGCTAGCGCCCAGCCTGGGAGGGACTGCGCCTGGGCAGGGGGTGTCGGGGTGCGCCAGGGCGGTACCGCTTTAAATGCACTTGACTCACCTGCTCCGGCGCTGTCGCCTCCTTCCTCTGCTGACAGCTGGGGGCTTTGTTTTCTCCACCCACCCGGTCCGCCGCGCTCCGCCCCCAGGGCCGCACGTGACTTGCCGTCTGCCACAGTAGCAGCTCCCGAAGTCTACCCGAGAGAGCCCCAGCGCCGCCCCTTCCCGGGGGTGCTGGTGCAGGTGGGGACCCCAGCCGGGGAGAGGCCCTAGTAGGACAGAGGTGACCCGCGGGAGGACACTGGTTCGGCCGTTAGGAAGCAGGCTGGATTGGTGACAGGGAAGACCGTGCCCGCCAGTGAAATGAACAGGGTCGTTGGGCCCCACCCGAGAGTGGAGGGCCGGCGCAGCCTGCAAAGGGGGCTTGAAAAGGCAACGCCACACCCAGAATCAAGTGCCTGCGACCTGGGGCCTGCGCGCCAAACCGAGCGCATCTGCGTTTTACACCAAGTGTTTGGATTGTATCTGAGGCACCACTGATAATGACCGGTAAACTAGTTTTGTTAGGAATATAAATTAAAGTAGACCATTCTAAGTCGAGTAGTGATTAACATTTAACAACAGCAAGTTTTATTGAGGTTTGGAATCTGCTTGTTGATGCTGTTGATATTTGGATTCTATTTGGAACTTGGAATACAAGCTGCAGGAGCTAGCTCCAGAAGATTATTCATGTGGGCATTAGGCCATTTGGAACGGAGCCTATTTTTAATGAAATGAATTGAGAAAATGTTCTGGTTTCAAGATTCAACTCAGTATTTGCTGCGTTTTGGACATGGGCCCGACCCTTGCTGATCAAAATGATCTCTGGTGTTTGAAACCACAAGAACTTGTCTGAGTTTTTTTAAGTCCTTGGAGCACAAGCACGTACATACCTTGTTTTCCCAAGCTGCTACTGGGGGAAAAATGGTCTGTTTCTCCCACCAGCATTCATTAAAGCGCAGTCGTCTTGCAAAGGGATTTAACACAGGCTTTCCAACTTTTAAGGTGCGGAGGGATCACCTGGGAATCTTGTTAAAACCAAATTCTGATTGAGCGGGTCTGGGATTGGGTCTGAGAGTCTGCATTTCTAGAAGACTCCAGGTAATATCAGTGCTGCTAGTTTGAGGGCCACACTTGCAGTATTTTAAAGTACCTGCTTTGAGTCCGAGTGCACCATTTGCTGCGTGCAGTAAGCGTTCCAAGTGTCGAATAGGGCTGGTTTTAATACACGGCCTACAGAGTTGTCTTGAAATTGAATGGGAACAGACACACAAAGCACCTCCTGCAGCGTCTGCCACACATATACCTCGGTTTCAAAAAAATATTAGCTAATTAACTCTGGAGGTCATCCTGGCAGAGGCAGCACAAAGTTCATCATGCCAGCAGGGGGGAGCAGTGTGTGAACGGGCACAGGCAGGAGGGCACTACCCAATAGAGATGGCTGAGCCCCCATGGTGCCTAGCAGGTGCCGGATGTGTGAGGTGAGTTTGCTGAATAAATGAATGACTGCAATGCAGAGCAAATCACACATGTTCCTTCTTGTTTCTACTTTAAATCTTGATAAATTAGTTCTGAGATATTGAATTAAAAATAATTTTGCTTTTTGGGAACCAGCAGTTAGCGTAATGGCTATGTCGCTGGACTCCCACGTAGTGGACTGCGGTTCGCGTCCCAGACCCGGTGGCTTAAAACTCACGCTGGGCGCATGTGCATGCATGCCCAAGATCCCCAGAGGAGAATGGAGGAGAAGGGATTGCAGTGTGACCATCCCCTCTGGGGGGTGATTTCTCACTTTCTGTCTCTATGTCTCTCTCTGTATGTCTGGCGAGTGCACATGCCCTATAGCAAAAACCTCTCCAAAAAAAAATTTTGCTTTTTATTACAGATAATATCCAACTGCCTGTCAGATTATTAATCTATTTTAATATGTGAGAGAGCAAATGGATTGTTAAGGCAAAGTACATTTTTTATCCTCATTAAAGACCTTGAAATTTAAATTTAAATGAATTTATTAATGAAGATACAGTATTCTTAGCTCTCCAGATGAATGGGTATTGTCATCATACTTCTCATATCTTCCTTTTTTGCTTCTCCTCTCTCTGTCACCTAAATATGGGTATTTCCTAAGACTCATTTCTTGGATTTTCAATTTTTTCACTATCTGCCATTTCCTTCAAAAATTTTATTTGTGTCTTACATTCAACTTTCAAGTTTGTGGAGATTACTTAGGAATCTATATCTACATTTATAACCCTTTTTAAAAAAAAGTTATTTAATTTTATTATTTTTATTATTACTATTATTTTAAATGTGACCAGAGAGAGAGGGAAAATGAAAAAGCAAGCCTTCAGGTCTGGGATTTGAACTGTGGTTGTCCATGTGGGAGTCCAGCTCCTTAACTACCATACCAACTGCTGGCCCCTCTTAACTCATTTTTAAGCACTATTTTACTATTTCTGTATTTCCAATTACTTGCTAGCATTTCCACTAAGTTTTCCACTATAGTTTAGTGTATTCTGAATTAAACTTCTCCTTCCTCCTGTGAAATGGATACCTCCTTGATGATAAATAGGAGTGGTTATTTACACTGGGAAGACCACAGTGTGAATCTGGGAACCTAGGAAGGGTGTGAGACTCAGTAATGATTTAGCTCGGCTGCCTTCTGCTGCTCCTAGGTGTTCCTCTGAGACTGCCCTCAACAGTGTGTAAACATGACTTACTGGTATAATAGACATATCAGCAGCTGTGGGCTGCTGTGGAACTGATGATCAGTATGATTCGAGCTATGAGAGACTTTCAGTCAGAATAAGTGAGGTGATAACAGATTCCAAAGTCTCAGTGGCTTCATGCAGCAAAGGCAGTTTCCTGCTCATGCACAATTTCCAGGGCAGCCATCATGATGACTCATGGTTCTAGCCTGCTTCATTCCCATGACAGCTTCATGAGCACCAGGGCAGGGGAAGAGAGTATGGAGACTTGTGCAGCAAGCCTTAAATGTTTTCACCAGGAACGACACAGGTCACTTCCCACATTTTGCTAGTTGAAGGAAGTCACATGATGATTGCTTAATTTTAAGGGGACATGTAGTCAGAAGGAATGAGAAAGTAGAAATCTTGGTGAGCTTGGGTAATATTTGCTATAGGTATCCATTCAACAAGAAGGTTAGGAATATAATTAATCTGAAAACAGCCTAGCTGTAGTAGGATGTGAGAAAAGATTAGCACTGAAGAAAGTGTCCAGTTATGTGTGGAATATTGTGGGGGAAACATTCATGTTGTTGTTGTTGCTGTATGTTGGAATAAAAAAAACCCCAAAACCTTAAAAGTGAAGAATTCTTTCTCAGTCAGAGTAATCATATAATTTAGCAAAAGACAGTGCAATGATCATCAAACACTTACGACATAGAAGCTGAGAAAGATCATCTATGTTGATTATACCCTAGGGAACACACACATTAAATAAGAAGTAAGTTTGCTAATTTTGATGGCATTGCTGATCATTCTTCAGTTAGGAGTGAATGTACATGTGTGAACAATGAAATATTTCAGCAAAATCCAATTGTCCCATATTTCCCCATGGTTGTCTGAATTATGTCTTTGACAAAATATTCTCTCGTCACGTACATGAGAATGTTGACATATACCTGTGTAGGTAAAGATCAGTCCATATGGAATGGGAAAAAAAATCACTTATATCAGTGGGAGAAAAATATAGTGATAGGCATTGGGCTTCATTCTCCAAAGGGTAGAGATTATGTAAATGAAACTTGCCCCTTACTTCTTCTAACATTTCATGCTTAAAATATTTGGACACTTTCTTGGCCTATTGGTTATGGCAGCTGGATCCCACATGGCAGACTGTTATTTGAATCCCAAACCCAGTGGCTTGAAAAAAATGCAGTGGATGTGTGTATGTGCATGCTTCAACTCCCAACAGAATGTAGAAATGGAGGAGAAAGGATTATGGCAAGACCACAGCCCATTGGGAAATGCTTTATCCATCTCCCTTTTCTTGGCCTCTTTTTGGTAGTTCAGGCCCCCTCTGGTGACTAAACAAAAATAGACAAAGTATCAACGAATGCTGCAAGTGCAGATGCTACACTATGCAGATACAGCATAGCCTATGATACTGGGGTGCTGGGCACTGAGCAGTGTTTTTGATCTCAACA